TTTCTTTTACTATAATATATATATATATATATATATATATATATATATATATATATATATATATATATATATATACAGTCCCCTGAAAAAACTATTGAAACGACAAGATTAATTCTTTTGTTTTTGTTCTTCACTGAAGACTGGTTTTAAGATCAAACGATGAATATGAAACAAGAACTCAGAAGTTCAGCTTTTATTTCTTCGTATTTACATTTCGATGTGTTAAATAGCTTAGGACATACCAAACTTTTGTATTAAATCACCCCATTTTTAAGGTGAGCAAAAATAAAGGAACAGACAGTGTTAAAGTAAATCTCATTCAATATTTGGTTACATAACCCTTGCTTGCAACAACTGCATCGAACCTGTGACCTTACTGACATCAGCAAACTGTTGCATTTTTCATTTGCGATGCTTTTCCAAACTTTTAACGCAGCCTCTATCAGTTCTTTTCGTTTCGGGTGAGGTGGTGTTTCTTTCCTCAGTCTGCACTTCAAGAAATGAAAAGTATGCTCTACTGGGCTATGGTCTAGTGAATCTAAAACTGTCCACTTTTTTCACCTGATGAAGTCTTTAGTTCTGTTGGCTGAATGGTTTGGGGTAATGTCTTGCTGTATGAACTTCCGCCCGACTAATTTGGATGCAGTTCTCTGTAAATTGGCAGATAAAATGTTTCTGCAAACTTCAGAATTCATTCTGCTGTTAGCATCATGATTTACATCATCGCTAAATATGAATGAGATTGTTCTAGAATCAGCCAGCCAAGCCCAAGCCAAGACACTGCCTCCACCATTCTTCACAGATGATTTTGTATACTTGGATCATAAGCAAATCCTCCATACTTTGACCTTTTCATCATTTTAGTAGGGATTAATCTTGGTCTCATTAGTTCAAAAAATTCTCCCAGAACTTTTGTCGCTCTTCTCTGTACTTTCTTGCAAATTCCAATATGGTCCTTCTCCAATTTTTACTGCTCATGAGTGGTTTTGCATCTTGTGACATTGGCACACACACACACACACACACACACACACACACACACACACACATATATATATATATATATATATATATATATATATATATATATATATATATACATGAATTATTCACACAAAAACTAATGCAAAGGTTAATGATTTAAATGGCGAGACATCCATCATCGCAAACAATTCAAATAGTATACAAAACCTCCAGATCCGTTATGAATGAATTGATCCTTGTTTATATAAATTTCTGCCGTATTAGTTGTTATTTTTACTACAAGCTTTCGTCTGTTCCTACAGACATCTTCAGGTATAGAATAGATGTTGTTCTTGTTTTTTCTCTTAGTAATAAGAGGACAACGAAAATATATGTGTTGTTGTATCCGAAAATGCTATTGAAAAAAAGAGTTATTGGTTTTGGAACGCGCCAAAGCAACGCTGAGTTTGATTTTAAATTTTTAAAGTGTTTGCGTTTATACCAAATATGTTGATGAACAAATTTTTTACTGGTAAATTTTTTCTGTCAAAGTGGCATGAACTATATTGTTCAATAATTACAGTAATGTCGCACTTATTATCCAAAAGTCGCACTTGGATCAGTTATTTAAATTACGATAAACGTGCAAATCAATTTACAAATACATGAATTATTCACACAAAACTAATGCAAAGGTTAACGTCACACATATATATATATATATATATATATATATATATATATATATATATATATATATATATATATATGTGACGTCATGAGTTCCAGCGCCTTACGAGGCTGGCATCCTGCTCTCACCCCTTCACTGTCGAAACGCCTAAATGTAGCCGTCTCTTCTACTCTAATAGCTTCATGTCTCACACCTCTCGCCTGTGGAACTCACTTCCCTACTCCTGTTTACCTGAGAACTATAATCTCCAGCTATTCAAATGTAATGTCAATCGACATCTCCAGTTTCCTTGATCTGTCCACTACCCTCATCCTTTCTTCTATCACTCCCATCTGATCTTGCTCTAAATTTTCTGTAACCCCTTGCGTCCTAGTGTGGCTTCCCGCCTTTTTGTGGTGAAATGCTTAAAATATATATATATATATATATATATATATATATATATATATGGATAAACAACATATACGGGGAGCGATGGATAAAACCTTCCTTTTGTAAACAGAGGGAATGCTTACTGGGTATGAATGTTATTGGACTCTAATTTTTTTGAAATTAATATTTTTTCCTTCCCTTCGTTATATTAATTTAATTTACACGCTTATAAATTTTTTATGTCCCAGAAAAATAAACTCGATAAGGCTGGGACGAAACCGGTTGTTCTTTTTTAGCTTTTTAAAATGACATATAAATTTTGCTTTTTCCTAGCTATCGATATATATATATATGTGTGTGTGTGTGTGTTTGTGTTGTTGTTGTTGTTGTTGTTGTTGTCGTTGTTGCCTTTTGGGGGCCAGAAATAAAGGTACAAAGAGAGTAATTGAGTTAAACAAATATATTAAGAGAAACAGTAAGACAAGACATATACACAAAAGCAAGAATATTCAGTCTGACTGTCAGAGCTGATTGCTGGAAACTACACTCTTTATAAGGCAGTGCCTACTCTTATTTATAGATGGGAGAGTCCGTGCCTGCATGGGTAAAATTACCATAAGTATATATATATATATATATATATATATATATATATATATATATATATATATATATATATATATATATATATATATAAATTAATTAAATAATTAAGAAAGAGACTAACTTAAGTTTCCATGATTATAATTTATTTCCCCAGAAAATATATTTTTCCTGGTTCATCAGGTCACATGCGGGTGTGTGTCTGCATTCATGCTTATGTATGTGTATACGTGCATGCGTGTACATATATGGATATGCGCATAAACACGCACCTGCACAAAGCTATATACATACACAAAAATCTAAACCGATGCGCAAAGTAAATGGTCAACAATAAACCAGAGACCCAACGATAAGCTGAGGAAAAAATATAAGAAAAAAAATAAAAGAGAAAACATAAAAAGAGGAAGGAAGAGGAAAAAAATAAACAATCAATCAACATTCACCAAAAGAAAGAAACGCTCCGATGAGTGGTTATAGCCACAGACCTCCGAAGTAAACGTGAGTTAAGCGAAAAAAAAAACAACTTTTTCTTATTATATATATATATATATATATATAATATTTTTTGGTTTAAAAATATGATTCCTTCGCTACATAAGAGTTCTCATGTTTCAAAAACGAGAGCCGAAACCATCCAAATAATTATTAAAATTAAGTTGAATTGAGGTGTTTAGTCTCGTTTCATTTCTAAGCCAAATTTTTATGAATAAGCTATGTCTTGGTTTACGTGCGTTTTTAGGCATGGTCCGTTATAATATTCGTTATTGTGGGAGTGACTAGGCTAGTTTTCTTCGTTAAGTGGTCAGAGAGTTAATTCTTATCTATAGATTCATTATCTTCTGAGAGGTTTTGCTAAGGTTGGGTAGGGTATCTATTTCAAGGCTAATGTTGGCGGTCATCCTTTAGTTAGTTCCCAGTGAGGGATATTTTTATGGCACGCCTACAAGTCGTTATGTGTAGGGAGGATTGTGTTTTACTATTGTCCATCTGATTATCTATTTATTTATTTGTTTATTCAAGTGGCTGTTTTATATATGTTTTCTGCATACCTGCGCATATATATATATATATATATATATATATATATATATATATATATATATATTGTGTATTTGGACAGCGATCCCTCTTTTATATAATTTTCGTTAAAAACGGCTGAAGAGGTACTGCGGATAAGTTTTTATATTTAATTTTTCATATAATTTTCTTTTCTGTACATAAATTATGCAGAAATTGTTCCAATGTTCTATATGTCTGTGCGCTTTTAGCCATTATCAAGGTTGATTTTATTTTTACATTTTACTGAATGTATGGTTTATTTTTATTTTTATGTGTATATCGAGTTACAGGAACGTTTTATTTTCCAAACACGGTCAGCATATTGTTACCGTGTTCTTAGTTGTTACTGAGTGTTGACTTTTTCTTTTTTTTTATATTAATAATGCTTCCATTATTTTTAGCTTTTGTACATGTGGATGGCGCTCTTATATTTGTATTGTCAACGATTATGTTGCGGATGGAGTTTGGTAGGTCTCCATGTGTATTGAAATGAGACCGAATTGAGCTATGGTCATAGAGATTTAACGTGAGTCTTCTTGTAACGCATGTTGTAGTATATCCAATATTTATGAATTCAGTTTGACCAGGAACACGTTTCCTTAAGAGACATGGGGATTCATAAATAATATTGGTTCTTTGTAATTTGTATCTTGCAGTTAGTGTTGCTGTTGATGATGAGGTTAGCAGTTTTATTTTCTTTAACCGTAATACCTTCGCCGTTGTTTTAATGAAACAAATACATATGTATTAAAATAATTGTCTGACTTAGTCCATTTCGTACTTTCGACGTCATTTGTTTACGTTAAGATACGCTTCGAGCAGATATGGACTTTCGAGGGAAATCATGGGAAGCTTGTAATTTAAAAGTAGTAAAATCGATTTTGCTAACCAGACGCACCTTCGTAGCTAAATTGGTATAGCACGTCAGGCTATATAGCGGTTTCGTTTAGGATACAGGTTCGATTTCTGTCGGAGGACGCATATTTTATAAGATATTTCTCAGACATTCAGGCCGCTAAATGTTGTTAATACTGTTGATTAGAAACAGAATTTACTTAAATATTTGTGTCTGGATAAATAACGTATAACAAAAAATATATTAAAATAATTGCCGAACTTAGTCCATTTCGTGGTATATGTACGTTTGTGTGTGTGAGTGTGAGCATTTTTTTGTGCGTATGTATATGAGGGTGAAGAGAGAGCGGGAAGGGAAGAAGAGAGAGAGAAGCAGAAAGATGGACAAAGACTTAGAGATTCACTAAAAAAATGGAAATGAAATACGATAATATGAGGAATAAATTGAATTGACCAGAGTGGTATAGACAGGCAGGCAGACTGATAGATAGATAGATAGATAGATAGATAGATAGATAGATAGATAGATAGATAGATAGATAGATAGATATTAGCAGAAAATGATAGTTAAATAGATAAATATTTGTAGAATACGATAGCTAGCTAGCTAGCTAGATATTAACAGAGTAAGTTAGATAGAAAGATATTGCCAGAATATGATAGTTTTATATATATATATATATATATATATATATATATATATATATATATATATATACATATATAGAAATAGGTACAGATGATACTTAAAATCCATTTCGGTTATAATATATTTCATGAATATTTAGATGAATATTTGAATATATTCGTGAAATAGATTATAACCGAAATGGATTTTAAGATCATCTAATACTTATTATTAATATATTGCTCGGTTACTTAGATTGACATCTCTCTGGATTAATGTCCTTCTTGGAATTATCCCTACAATTTCCGGTTGGTATTATATATATATATATATATATATATATATATATATATATATATATATATATATATTTCGTTGAGACTTCGTTTTCCTTACGATCACCGATTATTATATCTAAGGAAAATTAAATAATAATCACAGTACTTTCTCAGTCATCTTTAATAAAACTTGAATAAAAGAGGATTACTGCCCTAATATGCAATATATATATATATATATATATATATATATATATATATATATATTTATGTGCGTGCGAGTGTGTATCTCTGTGTGCCTGGGTCTCTGTGTGTTAGAGAGTATTACCAAGATAGAGACTCTGGCAAATAAAAAAAAAAAAAAGAACGAATCAGATGAAAATGAGGGAGAGGGAAAGGGAAAGGAGATTTTGCCAAGGTAGAAGGAGGCGAGTATGAGGGAATTGCTAAAGCGGGTAAGAGAGGAAGGGAGAATTAGAAAGTAGAGAAAGAAGTCAAAGGTCAGAACTGAAACATAAACGCAAATAAACACTCTCTCTCTTTTTCTTTCTGTATATGTGTGTTTGTTTGTTTATTTGTGTGTGTGTGCGTGCGCGCGCGCACACAGGGATAGATAGATATTAGACTGAAATATATAGGTAGATGGCTAATAGAGCGAAATAGATAGATATAAACAGACTGAAATAGATAGATAGATAGATAGATAGATAGATGAGGTGAATATATAGTGAAAGAAGGAAAATGAAATAGAAAGATCAATGGGGAAAAATAAACGGAAGACAGCGAGATAGCGTGATGGGAAATTGTAAGTGTAGGTGTGTAAAAAAAAGAGAGAAAAATTAACACTGTGCAGGACAGGGAGAAGCGTGGGTGATGAAACTTATATGTAAGGCCGACATTTAGGCAAAATAAGCGAAAAAAAAAAAAAAAAAAAAAAAAAAAGAAAGAGAAAGCCGAACATTTGAAAAGGCGGGAAACGTGGGGATAGCGACATGGGAGATTGGAGATATATGATGGAAAAGGGAGAAAAATTTAACTAATGCAAAGCTGTATTGGAAAAACGGAAAAAGATGAAACTTAAAACGCCACCAATAACAACAGAAATGACAACAATAACAACAACAACAACAGCAATAATAATAATAATAATAATAATAATAATAATAACTTGGTTCGCAACAAATAGCTGATTCATTGGCCACAGGTGCTCGACACCAGAACATTTTGTTAATTTTTCTTTTCTTTTTTCGTAGACACATCCGGCTTAGTGGATTCCAAAAGCGAAACCACTTGCTGACACCCAACTATCGTCTATTATTCTTTCTTACACAACTACTACCTTTCTGTATCTGCTGTAATGGTAGAGCATCACAAAACTCGAAGTGGAAGCAGTAGTGACGGTAACAGCTTCCAGAGTGTGCGGTGGAGGTATTGGCTGCAGTCGTAGTTGAAGAACAAGCAGCAAAAGGCGCTGTAGAAGTTGGCTACAGGTTGACTTCGAACAGCAGTGGAAAGAAGACGATAAAATTGGATCTCTTACTGGATGTGTAGCAGAAACGTCCGCTCTGCTGCCAATGTCTGTAGTTTTAAAAGAAATATAGGAAGTCTTCTGCAAACCTTTACGATGGGAATGTGTGTAACTTGCAATATGCCCTTCGTTCTTGTTCTCAATTATATTATACATATTTCAAATGTTATTATAGTGGACACTTCACACTTAAAATAGACACGGCATTTTGTATTTAATAAAAGGTGTGTATTATCTCTATCGGACTGCGCATTCGAGAATTCCTACAAAAAATGTTTCCCCTGATTGTGATCGAACATGTGTCCCACTTTAAAAAGAGTACACATTTTATTTACTAAGATCCCTTGAATGCGCAGGACCATAGCCGTAATAGACAGCGTTTAATGAATAAAAATGGGGCATCTATTTCTAATAAGAAGTGTTCACGATCTGAGAATATATATAGACATATATATCTTTGTTTCATGTCTGTATAACCACTCTGAGGATGACTTATGTGAGCCGAAAGCTTAGGACCAACCTAAAAAATAATATATATATATATATATATATATATATATATATATATATATAGTTCAAAAGTTTGAAGCCACCCCCAACATTAGCATGGAATTAAATTGACAGAAGAGTGAAAAAATCAAAAAGCGCACTTAGAATCATTGAAAAAAAGAATGAAATCAATTATCAAACTTATAGTTTGACAAACTTTTGCAACGAATGCCGGATATTTGTGCTGCAGTAATCAATGCTGACAGAGGATATTTTGACGAGAGCAAAATTTAATCATAAAATGCTTTTGTTTATCATAATAAAATTTCTAATAAAAATCATGTCTCAATATATGTTAAACCATTTATAATAATTTTCTCTTATTTAAATTACAAAACAACTATATTTGAGGCCAATTTGAAAAAAATTAAGTTATAGACTCAAACATTAATTTGTAGTGCATATATATATATATATATATATATATATATATATATATATAGTTCTAGAATAATTTGGTAGTTTTAGATTATGGCCCGCTTGGTACTGGCTTCTTTTCATTGTTGTCGATGTTGTTGTTAATGGGAGTAACAGCCTTTTAGTGCTCAGTCAGTAATTATTAGAAAGCGATCTGCTGAAGGAAATTGGCCAAAAGAAAGAATAAGGGAGAAAAATAATTATCGATGAAGAACAGGAGAAAGGACGAAAAAGAAAAAAGAGAAACAAGCGTGATGGTTAGAAAGAAATGGTTGGTGAGAAAGTAACGTAAGGTGGGCAGGATGAGAAAGAAAGACAAGAGTGAGTGAAAGGATTAGAAAGAAAGTTTGAGAGAGGGGATGAGATGGAAAGGCGAGAGGAAGACAGGGAACAAGACGAGAAAGAGAGAGGATGAAAAGATAGGAAAGGGGGAGAGAGAGAGTATATGAGAAATAAAAGCCAAAAGAGTGAGAAAAAGGCGAGATTGAGAGGGAAAGTATGAAAAAGAAAGAAGAGAGGGGAGGGCGAAAGAAAGACAAGAAAGAAAAATAATGACACAGAAAGGTGAGAGAGAGAGAGAGAGAGAGAGAGAGAGAGAGAAAAGAGGAAGAGAAAGAGTAAGAAAGAAAGAAGGGAAAATTATAGAAAGGAGAGGGAAGAGTAGAAATGAAGGAAAGAGTGAGTGAGAAAATAAGTTGTAACAGTGATTGATTGAGTGAGTGAAAAGCAAGTATGATGTAAGCCGATATTTGTGAAAAGAATGTGAATTCAAGAGTAAAACAAAGCTGGGAAGATCTGTCAAATATTGTGGCATACCAAGGACGAGAAATTTCGATAATTGAGTTGAGCACAAAAATATATCCATAATTTGTTTTTTACAAGAACATCAGTACAAAAAAAAATATTGCACGACTGAGATTATAAATTACTTAAAATTCAGTGTTAAATTCTCCAAATATTCTCTTCTCATTATTTGTACATTTGATACTTGAAGAATTTTTACATAATTGTTTAATACATACTATGTGTTAGATATGTATTCATTAGAGTAAATAAAAGTTTTCATGGATTTGTTTAATAAATCGAATCCTTTATTTATGTAATCACAAGCAGCATGGCCCAGCGTTGCCCGTGCTTGATTCAAAAATCGTACGACTCATACAGCAATCGTTATCACTTGACTTAAAATATTTTTGCCCTTCCTTGACTTTAAAGGAATTCCCTTTGCCGTGCTGATGTTGCTACATGCCTTACTTTTTGCCTATCTCACACTGCGAAATTTTTCTAAGCTCTATACTAAACATTAAATCTGTTACGAAAAAAAGAACTAAACAAAATGAACACAAAACGATCAGTTTTAAAAAAGGACTCATAACTGGAAAAACCGAATGAAATAGAATGGTAACAACAAATACTTTTTCACATCCAACCCAGTTCTGCGGAATCAGAATCAACGTTGAGTTTAAGTTTTTTTTTGCATGCTAGTTAACATTCGTGTCAGTCAGCTGTTGGCTCTCACTCTGGCCAGTAGAAAATGGCCGCAAACTACATGAAAACTGCCGTAGAAGCATGAAAAAATCGATTATTTCCACTATCGATGGGAGTTGGGAAATGCAATGTCGGTCTTGGTCTTCCCGCTAACTTGGAGCATGTGCATATAAATTTTGGTGCAAATCCGTCGAAAATTGCGGCCGTGCATTCGTTACACACACACATCCTGCCTTTTATAGATAGAGATTAGTGAAGGAAACTTTTCATGGATTTGTTTAATAAATCCTATCCATTATATATGTAATCATTTGTGTATATGAAAACTTTCATGAATTTGTCTAATAAGTCCTTTCCTTTATATATATAACCATTAGAGTGAACGAATGTTCTGATGGATTTGTTAAATAAATCCTACCGTTATATGTAAACATTTGAATGAATGAATACTTTTATGGATTTTTTTAATAAATCTCTCATATATATATATATATATATATATATATATATATATATATATATATATATATATATATATATATATATATATTAGGTGTTTGTGCTTGTGTGTGTGTGAGAGCGTGTGTTTTGCATGTGTATTTTTGTGTAATTTCAGCTAGTATCTGTTCCTCATATTTCTTCTAATATCATCATCCCGGAAATAATTATTTCCTTCTCAAGCCTACGTACGTCAAAAAATTAAAAATATAAATATAATGGTTAAATTCAAAACATAAATTTATTTAAAATATAAAACGCATAATTTGTTCACATAATAAAATCATTTAAATATTACTTTGCATAAAAAAAAAAATTAAATCATGTTTTTTCATTTGTCAGACATTAAATTATGTAACTTAGCGTCCTCCATATCTTAGGGTTTTCAGATAACCTGATGAATATTCATGAGCGTTTGTAAATTTAAAAAACACTAACAAAGTTTTTGCTCGTCAATTCTTACAAAATAAAATCCTTGCATTTGCCTTGATAAAGTCTTGATATGTTTTCATTTTGTCTTACACACACACACACACACACACACACACACACATATATATATATAGCTTAATAGCCGCCGTTTTAGACAGACGGAGACACACACACATATATATATATATATATGTATGTATGTGTGTCTGTGTGTATTTGTGCGTGTTTGTGTAAAATTTCAAATATATCTGTAAATTGATAATATATTCAGTTGGCTTGATTTCTATTCACAAGCATTCTTAAATTTATAAATTTTGAAAAATCTTTCTTGTCTGTAAATAGTTGTTATAAAATAAAATCCTTACATTTGTTTTTGACAAATTCCATCAGAAGACGAATCGAATTAACTAAAATTTTCTTTTATCTATAGATAGATAGATAGATAGATACAGTAGTTCAGTATATATTGCTGTTGATGCCAATATGCAGCGTATATCTCATGAAAGATAATTTTCAGCCTCACGAAGCTACAATCGATGGATATGCACGTAGCGTAATAGGTATTGGCGCGGAGAGTCAAATTGGCGAGTCATGTTCAAATTCCGGCTGAGTCTGCTGCGATGATGTTAAACACGCATATGCCCTAAGGAAAGGCATGAATCATTTTCTTCTCATGACGACCACCGCGTTATGAGTTAAATAGACCGGACTCGGGAGCTGCCACCAAGTCTACGAATAGGACAACACTGAAATTAAAAACCGCGCAGAAGGCAATTGGAAATCGCTGCATTATTTTTCCCGAAGGGTATGGTTATTCGCGGATAACAACAAAAAAAAGGGAATTTATTTCAAGCAATTTGACTACTGAGGCCCAGGCTCTTTTATTATCCTATGATTATAGGATATACATACACATATATATCCTTCATTATAGGATAATATATATATATATATATATATATATATATATATCCTTCATTATTCATATATATATATATATATATATATATATATATATATATATATATATATATATATATATATCCTTCATTATAGATAATATATATATATATATATATATATATATATATATATATATATATATATATATATATATATTATCCTATATATATATATATATATATATATATATATATATATATATATATATATATATTATATATATATATATATATATATATATATATATATATATATATATATATATATATATATATATATATATATATATATATATATATATATATATATATATATATATATATATATTTATATACGTTCTACCCTGATACTTAGCCCATTAACTAAAAATATAGCATACTTTAAAATTATAAATATATATATATATATATATATATATATATATATATATATATATATATATATATATATATATATATATATATAACTATACTCGTTTCGAAAAACCTTCGAATTTTTGATTTGCCAATAATCAAATCAATCCCGGGGGAAAAAAAAGGTTTTAAAAAAAGAAAGAGCTAGGAACATGAAAGTCTGTTGAAAAAAATCGCACAGATACAGGTTTAAAGCCCCCCCTCCCCCCCAAAAAAACGGACACGAGTAAACAACTAACTAAAAAGAGCTCAATACAACTGTAGAGCAGACCTAGATAAACCTAGTGAGCCAGACAAACCTACCCAGGTTTCACCTAAGCGGATCGTCAGGGAAAGCTGGCTAAAGAGGCAAGAGAAACAGCATATTTATAGGCGATAATCAAAATCATACCATGTGACCAAAGAAAAACAAGAAAAAGCACAAGAACACCGGGGGAGGGTAAAGATTAATTCAACGACTAAAAAGGGGAGGGGATATTAACACGAACAATAAAGGTAGAAAGACAATACAACGGGGAGATAGACCTAATTCAATAACCAATATTTTCTATGCCTACATATGTTAAGAAACTCGGTTTTAGAGTTTAATAGATCGTTAGGTTGATTATATAAAGCTATAGCTAATTTCTCCTCTGTATATATATATGTATAATATATATATTATAATTATTTTTTAAAAATATGATTCCTTCGCTACATAAGAGTTCTCATGTTTCAAAAACGAGAGCCGAAACCATCAATATAATTATTAAAATTAAATTGACTTAAAATAACAAGCCTTGTTTCATCCTCAAGCAAAAATTCAGGAATAACCAATTTTGAAATTTACGTGTCGTTAAAAGCGTGTTCATTTGTTACTATAGAAACAGCTGGGGCGACGATTTTTATCTACATATCAGTCACCTTCAGGGAGAGGTCAAGCTGAGGTAGGATGGGGTGTCTATTTCAAAGCGAATTATGTCTTCCTTTTACGAGCATTTCAGAAAAAAAATAATGAAAAATTATGTGATTGTAGAAACCCTGAAGACTGCCCGTTGGGGGAAAAATGCCTCATAAAATCCGTAGTATACCAATGCACAATCTCATCCATTGAGATTCCTAACACCGATAGGATATACATTGGGTCAAAGAAGAATGAATTTAAAATTAGATGGAAGCAACACAAAAGCTCCTTCAATAATATTAGAAATAGAAATCAGACATCCCCTATCTAAATATTTTTGGCATTTAAAAGAAATGAATAAAACACCAAAAGTAAAATGGAAAATAATAAATAGAACTAGAACTTGTAAAACCTGGGATAACCCATGCCCTTTATGCCTACATGAAAAACTACACATAATTAAGTTTCTAAATAATGAAAATTTATTAAACCATAGACATGAGTTAACGGATTTAAAAAAAAAAATAATTAGCCTAAAAAACAAAATAAAAAAAACAACTCAAATTTCATAGTTTAATAAAGGGCTAAGAAGCTTAACCCAATCATTAAAGGGAAAAACCCTTTATGAAGCCGTCAAAAAACAAATTGTAGTTCAGTGCGACACATTTATATATGAAACCTCCCGTTGAAAATAAATAAATAAATAAACAAACAAATAAAATAAACAAAATTATCCAGACACTTAACAACATACTATGGTGCCAAAATCTATCTTCCTCTATGAATGAACAGACAATGCGCGTACAAGAAAGACATAATTCGCTTTGAAATAGACACCCCACCCTACCTCAGCTTGACTTCTCCCTGAAGTTGACTGATATGTAGATAAAAATCATCGCCCCAGCCGTTTCCGTAGTAACACGCTTATAATGACACGTAAATTTCAAAATTGGTTATTCCTGAATTTTCGCTTGAGGATGAAACATGGCTTGTTACTTCAAGTCAATTTAATTTCAATAATTATATTGATGGTTTCGGCTCTCATTTTTGAAACATGAGAACTCTTATGTAGCGAAGGAATTATATTTAAAAAAAAAATAATTATAATCTAAGCTCTACTTCTGTATGGAGCATTGTTTTTTTTTAAAATAAAAACAAAAATACTAAAGAACTCCGGATTATTTACCTAACATGTTCTTTCCTATTTTTCTACATACCTGCACACTGTAAGTGTGTGTGTAACCGGAGAGTGCTTATTTTACTCTAATACAATTTCTTGAATATTCAGGCCGGTAGACGAATATAAATAAATACATTGTTTAATAAATAAACAGAGCGTCTACTCATATACGAGTATCCACTTCAAATAGCATTTAATGAATAAAAAGGAATAAAAATCTGTCGGATTAAGAAACAAAATTACATCCTTTTTCTTTACAGACGCACACACACAGATATATATATATATATATATATATATATGGGTAGGATAAAAATATACGTATACGCACATATTCTTGCACGTACCATTATATTTTCTCAGGTGTATGTAAAACAGTATAAATGTTATATAACAGCTATTAAGTATACATTAATGGATATACATAATATCCCACGTGTTTAGATCCACACAGCCTGTACTGAAATCTCACTTTTGCCACCTTGTACCCCTCCACCAAAGAAGTAATAGGTAACTTAACCCCCCCCACTCCCCTCCTTTGCTGCCATACAAAGTGACCGGCGACAGAAATCCCGCAACACCAAACCACTTCTGTACGCATTTACTGATTTTCCTCTCAATTATCTCAACTCGAGACAGTGCCACCTCATATATAGTTAGCGGTCACATTAGTCAAAATGGCTACACCAAACTTCCCAGGAAAGCCGCATTGGTCTATGCTTCGCAGACCCGTCTCCGCTAGTCACTGGATTTCAGCGCCGCGATGACGATCTGTTACAGGGATGTTATACCACCACCCAAGACTCTTCACATCTTGCTCCCCTACTGTTGGTATCTTTAGATGGAAAACACTTCATTAATGACAGGACCACCCTTCATAGAGAGTGACTTGCTCTTCTCTGGTTTGAAAGCCATCTGACCACAATATACCAACTCTGCAAGTCTCTCCAGAACTAGCTGCTACTTTCCCATCGTCTTGAATTACTGTTAAACCATCCCTAAATGCCCGGATTTTGACCTCATTCAGCAGGAAGCGATACTCTGGCTTCAGACCTCTCAGGATCACCTCCATCACCATCACAAACAGTACTGAAGAGATGGTACATGCAACAGCAATTCCCCTCTGCAGCTCCACATACCTTGTGGTATATTGCATCGTTGAAAAACGCAGCATGAACTGACTGAAATAGATACCCAGACAATCACTGATTCTCTGCGGAACGTAGAACTCCAACGCCAGCTGTATCATGCTATGGGGAACTGAACCTTACGCATTGGCAAGCAGATGACGTGAATATTCTTCCTTGCAGTCTTAGCCTCGCGAATCTTTGCCCAAAATCATTGACACGTGCTCCAACCCCCCCACACACACAAAAAAAAAACCTGGGACTCCAGCCTTTGGAATACTAGTGTCTATGTAGTCATTCCCGAGCTGGTAACCTGCCAGCCCCCTGGCAAACACCTTAAAGAACACCTTTCACTCAACGTTCACGGGAGAGATTGGACGAAACGAAGAGTCAATGAATCCTCTTCCCTCGGTATATACATGCTATCAACTAGAGACCAACACTCCAGAGCATCACTAACTTCCCAAATCTTCACAAGAAGCCTCCACAGACACTTCAGCAGCCCGAAATATCTCTTGTAGATAGCATATGTTACGCCATTAGGACCACCCGCAGAACATGCTTTCGACTACCGTATAACGCCTTGGACTACCTTCCAAGTTACTGGAAACTCATCAAAGACTACTTCAGGGGCGTCAGGCCTGAATAAACCTGGCATTACTTCCGCTGGAACCTCCCTGTTGGCATCAGAGTACGTGTTTATAAGGTGTCTCTCCAGTTCCTCCTGCTCTACGCTCAACGTTTCGTTAGGCTACTTCCAAAACAACTGCTTCGTGAAGCGGAATTGACTTACACTGAACGACTTTCGGGCTCTGGCAGGCTTCTGTCTGTTTTTGACAAAACGTTTTGCTCTACTCAACTTGCCAATACGTTTCCTTAAGTCTTCCAGGATTGGCTTGATTTCCTCTGTTCACCAGCACGCATTGCTGCTCGTAAACCTTCGCATCTCTTTCCTCAGTGACCGGATAGTTCTCCACCGCCGACTGACCTGCACTGGGCCCAAGGACTTAAGTTTCATTTTTCCTTTAATCTAAACTTTATTACCCCATAGTCACTGATCATGTCCCTAAGCTGGCGGACTTTCCTTCCTGGAAATGTTTTTCTTCTACATGCCGTGTTCCTACATGGTATGGCTGTTCAAGTCTCCACAATTTTCTGTCTTTTATAGCTATTATTAAATTTATCTTTTCCCTTATTTCCTAATCATTGTTCTGCCGTCCATTTACACAAGCTTGTTAAGTAGTTTTTGTGTTGCGTTCCTTTGATCCTTTTGTCTATGACATGTCCTGTCAGTGGCAAATTTTACTAGTCATCTTTCCTCATTATGTGTCCTAGAAAAAGCAACTTTTCTCTAAAATTTCTTCGTTTCTCGCATGTTCAGTGTAAGCCTGCTACTAGATTGTCATCTAGATACCACCTGTTTACTGTTGAAATGGCTAAATGCAACCGCCACTTCTGCTCCAACAGTTGCTTTCCTCGCACTTCCCGCCTGTGGAACTCTCTTCCGTTTACTCGCTTCCCTTAAAACTCCTGCGTGCTAGCCTTGCTTCGGGTGAAATGATTACAAAAAAATTTAAAAAAAAATGGTATTCTCAGTGTCCTTCTGTAGAACGAAATTTCTGTCCCTTACTCCTTCTCATCTATCCAGCATTCACTCTAATTTGTAATTACGCATGGTGGATTCCGAATCAGTCGCACGTAATCTTCGATCAGAGAGCACCAAGGTTCTCGCTCTGTTGATATTTGCATCTATTCTCTGTGATTTTGTCTGCTCACATTTTGTATCATCGTGAATTTCTTTTCCTCCTTCCTTGAAACGCATGGGACACTCAAAATTTTCGAATTCTTTCACGCATGTTCCCCGTAAGCTATTTTAATAGGACCGACCTTAACGCTAAAATTGATGTCACTGCTCCAAATTCTTTTCACACATTTTATCTTTATAGTATGAACACATGCAACTTCCGCCACTGCTCGTCAACTAAAAAATCATATAGTCTGAGTCACAAGAAATATAAAACTGTATATATATATATATATAAACTGCTTCGAGAGATCTATCAGGGGAGAAATTTTGCTTGAATTCACGAAATTGGCTTCGTCTGACTGACCGCTCTTCGTGGCCAAGTCGGGTCAGGCTAAACGGCGGCCCCTTCTTTCCTTCAAAAAGATTTCTCGAACTTTCACGCCGGCAGGTGAAAATAAATAAATATACATTTTAATAAATAAAGGGAACCCATACTCAGATACGAGTATTCACGAAGAATAACGTTTAACGTGATATGAAATCTGTCTGATATATATATATATATATATATATATATATATATATATATATATATATATATATATAAAATGAATATAATATATCGCAAATAGAATGCTGGTGTTAATAAAATAGTGATAGTGCTCTATTTAATATAACAGAACTATTGAGTATATATTAATAAATATACATATTATCCCCTCACGGGTAGCACGAGTCAGGGTTTCTTGTACAACGCAATCTTCAGGTGCTGGGTAGTAAAATATTGCGCTGTGCATGAAACTCCATGCCGTGCTCCCGGTGACGGATAATATATATTTTGTTAATACAATATATATATATATATATATATATATATATATATATATATATGAAAATAAATACCTATTATCAGAATTTATACCTTACAGTTAAAAGAAACAAGCAAAAACACCACCACATAAACCACAATTGACCCTACAAACATGAAAAGAGAAACCACTGATATCATAACGCCATCCATTATTCTCTAGTTCAAGCTATTATCATAATAATTGCATTTATTGATATTATCATTCCACCACTATTACTAATCACTTCTACCACTTTACAATAACTAATTTTTACTACTACAATTGTTATTATCATCAACCCTCACCATTACTACCACATTACAATTACTATTGTCGTATTAGTCCGCAATCACCATTAACGTAAATTACTCCTCTCTCCACCAGCAAAATTAATACCACCATATAAAAACTAATAAATATTACAAATTGGAATTTCTACCATTTACATATGCGCAATCACGAAAAACAAGCAAACAACCGGCTTTAAAATAATAACAAAACAACCTTAAAAAATTAAAAATAATAGCAATTTTTATCTATCATAGTTTTACACAGACCCCATCATACGTATATACGTGCGTGCGAGAAAATATTGTTCATCGAACAAAAATAGAAAAACTCTCTTTGAGTTGACATCGCTACAATCAAGAAAAATATTCGCTACACAATCCAACATTGAATACGGCAATTAAATGCGTACGTATGTACACAACGGCACATATATACATATATATGCCAAGTCCCATGCTGTTCACATATGTTTATGTTGGTGTCAGCTCCGGTGGGCGAGCGTGTATGTGTGTGTATCTGCGTACGTCAATGGGTGTACCGGCGTGTATGTATGTTTGCGTAAGTCTGAGTGGCGTCATGATAACAATTGTTCCTCCCAGTTCCATAAAAACACCAATACACGCAACCCTACATAAATCCAAAATTAAAAAAAAAATAATCAGTTTGTCTGACGATCGCAAATGCGTGAAACCCAGGGTCACAAACTCACATATTCATATATATATATATATATATATATATATATATATATATATATATATATATATTACACAAAAAAGAATCCAAAAATTATCTCATGTGCGTATAGCCTATTTCAGCCAGTGCAAACTTGCGCCAGTCTTCTTCAACCTTAGATTGAATTTTCTCGGAATCAGGGATTTAGAATTTAATTTAGATAGCAGTGGGGGAAAAAATACCGAACCTACCGAAAATGATGACTCTGCTATGTAAAAAGCCCGAGTTGGTGGTAAGGGGAGGGTGGAAGATATCTCTGTAAAAAGGAAGATGCCCGCTGGAATCAAGTCCCATATTAATCTTATGATCCTAAGTTGGGATTATATGAAGGGTGAGGTGTTTAATTGAAACTAAAAGAAGGACCGAAAGTGGAGTTTATTTATGACCGAAAACTTTAATTATATATAAAGTAATTTAAGTTACCGCGAAGGAATTATACGAGCAACAAATATGTATTGATAATATCAGCAATAATTCGTATTTAGACAATTTATATAAAGAAAGAATAGATTTAAGGGTTTTGTATTGTTAAGGAATGGGAGATCTAAAGATAAAACTATTTAAAATTAGAATAGATTATCCATTTTTAAGTTTAAGGATAGGTTAAATTATTAGGCAAACCAAGCCATACACGGAATTCTTAAAAAAAATCAAAGGGGCTTGCATAAATTAGGGGACTGTTATAAGACAGGATTAATATGTAGAATAGAGGGTTATTGTAGAAGTTAATTATCGTTACATATTCAACATTAGGGGGTTTTGGTAGTTAAAAAATAATAAGGTAAGATCTATGTTCTTATATAGGTTTGAATTTGCTTCTATGTCTATATTTTAACACTAGTTCGTTTCCTTTGATTAAATAGTTTGCATTGATTATTGTATTTTATTATTCTAATTTTTCCTCTAAACATAGAGAGCACCTATCTCTAAAACTATTAAGAATATGAGCAACACCAATAACTTTCCAATCTACCTGAGGGTTCCGACCATTTTCTTTCAATTCCCAAAATTTCTTTGAAAGAGTTGTTTGGTATTTTAATATACGATTGGTAAAGGAATGCCTATGGGTATAAAATCTCTGTTTCCATTCCCCCGCGGAAATTCCAATGTATATATTAAAATTTATCGTATTTCTTTAAGGGCAATGGTTGCTTGGTATATTACACTAGTCGATCTGCATTTACCCTCAACAGTTTTCTCTATTTCTACAATTACAGGGGTGTTCCAAACTAAGTTTCTTGTTTTTCTTACAGAATTTACTTAAGATATAAGTATTATGGAAGTTGATAATTTGGTACATGTTATTAGTGCAGGGATAGCTAATTTTGATCGATTTCCTGTTGAAGATCTTACTTAGTGGGTTTTTTCGGAGATGTTTATTTATTAATTTTAAAAAAGTGCTGTCCGATATTAATATTTGGTAGTTTTCAGAAATAGGGGGTGGAGGTTGAACCTACACCCCACTTTAGATGTTTCAGTGTTACTTATAGGGGTTAAA